TGTTATTATTGTTGTTGTTATTATTACAACAAGATGTGTGATCATGTTTTTTTTTTTTTTTTTTCTTCAGATCTAATATAATGGATATCATTGGTATAGTTACACGTTTACCATCACTTGTTTTCGGCGCATCACGTTGTGATGATAGTTTTGCTGATCGTCTTTCGTATAAATATACTGTTTTAATGCTTGTTCTTTTTGCTATTATTGTAACTAATAAACAATTTGGTACAAAACATATACAATGTAAGTAGTGAGAAATAATTTTGTGTTAAAATTTAAATGATGAAATTTTTTTTTTTTTTTTTTATAGGTTGGGTACCAGCTCAGTTTACGAAAAATTATGAGGTATATATATAGAATTATTTTCTTGTAAATAAAAGTCTATACTCAATCGATTCTGAATGCTTTGAAATATTTCTCTAGGATTTCTGATTTAGAAATTATGAATTGAGTAAAAATTAACTTTTTTTTTTTATAAAAATCAACAGTTATACGATATTCCTTGTGCGAAATGTTCACCGTTGACAAATGATTTGAAGTAAACTATTTTATAGAAAAATATTTGTTCTTTCATTCATTGTATTTGAAATAATTTTCATTTTTACTTTGAGTAAGTTTTGACGTGCTGAAACTCATCCAGATCTCGAAAAGGTTGGTTCACAACTCTTAAATCAGAAATCATATCCGAAAAGAATATGAAATTCTGATATTAAGATCCCTCTTCAAAAAAAGTCACCGTTTTCATCAGAATGATTGAAAAATTAAGATAAATGCATAGGACAATAGCGCGTGATTTGATCTTTCATAAATGATAAAAATTCTTACTCGGCATCTCTGGGTGTGGGGTGTTTCTCTGTCAATACTCATTCACTATATTTGTTTGAAAGAGTGCGTCAAGATGCAGTGCAGTACAGAGGACTTTTTTTTTAATTATATATAAATTTCCTTCCGTTGAAAAGTAAATATTTAAAAACCTGGACTGAAAAATTTGATTTGTCAAATGAGCTATTTTTGACTCTTGTTTGGTCAATATCATCCTCAAATGTCATGATATTGGACTGAAAATTTTATCATAGCTTATTCACTACCGTCCCAATATATTTTAAAAATTTCATGTCATTTGAACATTCCTCGGTTGAGATCGATTTTTTGTGAGGAAAGCCTTATATATTTCGATTTCCGGTACTTCCGTCTATTTCTTAAACAAACCATTTTTTTAATTATATCCGGTAGTTCGATTCATTGATCTGAATAAAATCGTTATTTTATTTAGGAATATGTTAATGATATATGTTGGGTATCGAATACATATTATATTCCTCTTGAACAAAAAGTACCAAAAATTGAACGAGAAAGACGTCAAAATGAATTACGTTATTATCAATGGATACCATTTATATTACTTCTTCAAGCATTTTGTTTTTATTTTCCACATATTGTTTGGCGTTCATTATCACGACGTAGTGGTATTGATGTACGTGATATTGTTGATGCAGCTATTAATTATAAATCAGTTGATACAGCAACAAAAGATGATAAACATAAAGCCGAATTAATGGAATATATTGTTGAAGCTATTGATAAATATGTTGATGATCCAAGACGACAAGCTGATGAACGTGGTGATCGTATTAGTATAAAACGTGTATTAATGACAGTATGCATATTTATGGGTAAATATTTGGGCAATTATTTAATTATTGTTTATTTTACAACGAAAGCACTTTTTATAACAAATGCTGTTTGTCAAATATTTTTATTAAATTTATTTTTGGGACAAGAATTTCATTTATTTGGTATACAAGTACTTAAAAGAATTCTTGAAGGACGAGGTTAGAAAACAAAAAAAAAAAAAATTTGTTTTTCTTTATTTTTTTAAGAAAAATTAATTTTAGGTTGGGATACACAATCACGATATTTTCCTAAAGTGACATTATGCGATTTTCAAATTCGAGAAGCACTTCATCCACGAGATTCACATCGTTATACAGTACAATGCGTTCTTCCTCTTAATTTATTCTCACAACAAGTAAAAATTTATCTTGATTATTCAATATTTATATAAAAATTATTTAGATTTTTACTTTTATTTGGTTTTGGTACATGATGGTTTTTATAGTCGTATGTATTCTTCATTTATTTCATATTAGTAGTGAATGGAGTCAATCATTTTTGGTCCCAATTTCACGTTGAGTAATACATGTACAAGCGAACAATGTGAAATCATTTTCTAGTAGTATTAATGCGCTCGAAACATCCTAATAGCCACCGTCTTGGATATTTATTACTTTTCTTCTAAATTTACTAATACTTCGTCTATTATGTATGTTTGGGGGGAAAAAAAACTAACGATTAATTTTACTATCAAAATTATAAGTGATCGTTATTCGATAATTTTCATATAAAATTTTAGATCACATGAGTTGTGAGAATATGACATTTGTCATAAGTCTTAAATATTCTCAATCCGAGAAAAGTGTTCATCGTGATTTTGATCTCATATTTATATTCATTTTGACTTTTTTTTTTAGTCTATATTTGATGTTGTTGTATGGGTAACACGATTTTTTCCTGATAAACAATATAATTATATAAAACGACGTTTACAATTAATGAAACGTGATACAGATTTTAATTCACAACCACCAGAATATGTTAAAGATTGGTATAGAGAATTTATTTTTGGTTATCTTGAACCAGATGGAATATTTATGCTTCGTTTACTTTCATCAAATACAAGTGATTTTGTTTGTACTGAAGTAAATTTATTTGATTAAAATATCCTCTAAAAAACAAAAAGAAAATTTCGATTATGTTTTTTTTTTGTCTTTAGGTTATTAATCAATTATGGCAAACATTTTATACAAAAGATCCGAAACAATTAAAACGTAAACGAAAACGTGAATTAGGTGGTGAACCATTAGTACCGGAAATTCAACGTCATATGTCTGATCCTGTTGATTTATCTGAAAGTTATGATTCAATTCGACGTCGAAGTACAAATTTTCCACCTCCATTATCAACATCAGAAAAAAAAATTAATGGTTATGGACCATTAATACCATCAAATAATCATCCTCGATTTTCATCAGCAAGTATTAAACAATCTTCTCTTTCCACTCTAGTCGAAGGCGATGTATAAATAAATAGTTTATGTGTTTGTTTTTTTCTATCTATAGTCAAATTTCAATAATCTCAGTCAGTTTTTTTTTTTTTTTTTGTATATTATACATCTTTTTTATATAAAGCTAGTAGATGTTTTTTTTGTTTTTGTTAGTTGTAGTGATTGTCACCGTTTTCTTTTTTTTTT